ACCTACCGACACTAAGCTACCCTCAAAAATTAAGTATTAGGTAAAAAGAATAAATAAAAGGTTACCACCGAGACAAAAGCTTTCAGGTGGGGGAATACATTTTTAAAAGGAGCTTAGCACAGTGATAAGGGAGGGGTGAGAACCAGAGTTTCTGTAAGAAAGGGAAAGCTGCTGGAGTTCCCAGCCCGCTCATCACAGCAAAAGGGTTCATCTGAGTCCTCCACATCTCTAAATGCATTAAGGCGAGGAGAAACTGAAGAGCATCCAGCCTACCATATCCTCACCTTCTTCTCGCGGGTTTTTCTCTCTTCTCTCCGCCTTTCGAACTCCTCAAAGGAGATTTTCCCTTCCAGGTAGTCAATGAGTTCCGGGCTGAACCCCGACATATCTGCAAGGTCGTCTGTGCAGCCCCAGCAACCCGGACACCGAACCAGAAAAGCAGCACTTCCCAGACCCAACCTCAGGCCGGGCCGCCGTGAGCGAGGACCGGCGTCCTCCGGTAAAGTCGCCCGGCCTGCGCTACACTCGCAGCGGTCGGGTTCCGAGGGCGCACCCGGCCGGGGCCTACTTCCGCTCGGCGGGGGCGGGACCCTCGGGGCGGAGTCGCCGCGCGCCCGGCCTTCTCCAGCTGTCTCCCTCAGGCTTCCTGCTTAAAGGATAATAGGCAGTTGGAAAGAAAAGTACTTTAAAGAGATTTTCTTTAATCTAGCTAATTTCCTTCAATTCTTAACTAAGATGTTTGTTTCATTCTCCAATCCATTTTCTTTTCCGAATGTTCTTTAAATTAGTTTAGTCTTTGCTGTAGTGACTTTCCCCCCTTAATTTAACCATTTGCTCTGCCACGTGCATGTTTCACTTTGCACAAAAAGCTAAAGATCTCCTGCAATTTACGCATTAAATCCCACCCCCTCCAGGACCTTCAATTTCCCCTTTTTGCACAAATCCTCGAACTCTCCCTTTCCTCAGGCTCCTTCTCAGTCTATAAAGAAGTTCATCTGGTTTTTCCTTCCTGATTTTCCTGATTTCTAAATAAATTCTAGTTATCAGCCCTTTATTGGGTGTAGCTTGGGAAAATTTTCTCCCGTTCTGTGGGTTGTCTGTTTGCTCTCTTGACAGTTTCTTTGGCTGTGCAGAAGCTTTTTAATTTGATCAGGTCCCATTTGTTTATTTTTATTGCTGCTGTGATTGCCTTTGAGGTCTTCTTCATAAATTCTTTGCCTAGGCCAATGTCTAGAAGAGTATTTTCAACGTTTTCCTCTAGGATTCTAATAGTTTCACACCTAATGTTCAAGTCTGTTACCCAGTGTGAGTTGATTTTTGTGAGAGGTGAAAGGTGTGGGTCCTGTTTCAGTCTTCTGCATGTGTCTATCCAGTTTTCCCAGAACCATTTATTGGATAAGGATTCTTTTTCCCCAGTGTATGTTTTTGTCTGCTTTGTTGAAGATTAGTTGGCTATATGAGGATGGTTTTATATCTGGGTTCTCTGTTCTGTTCCACTGGTCAATGTCCTTGTTCTTGTGCCAATTCAAAGCTGTTTTAATTACTATAGCCTTGTAGTATAGTTTGAAATCTGGTAAATTCATACCGCCTTTTTTGTTTTTATTGCCTAGGATTGATTTTGTTATACGGGGTCTTCTCTGGTTCCATACGAAGCATAAAACTATTTTTTCTATATCTATGAAAAATGATGATATTTTAATAGGGATTGCATTGACTCTGTAGGTCACTTTGGGTAGTATAGACATTTTAACAATGTTGATTCTGCTAACCCATGAGCATGGTATATTCTTCCACCTGTTTACATCCTCTGCTATTTCTTTCTTCAGTGTTTCATAGTTCTCCCTGTAGAGGTCTTTTACCTCCTTAAACATAATGAGTGAGATATGTAACGTTTGGGGGATGGTCATGCTTGAAGCTCTGACTCGAGGGGGGAGGGGGGACATGGGCAATATACGTAATCTTAACATTTGTACCCCCATAATATGCTGAAATAAAAAAAAAAAGTTTATCTGGGCTTCATGTTCCACCTCTAACTCCACCCAAGTTTTCTTCTAACAGTCAGACTTGTAGAAAGACCCATATACTTGATATGGTTACCATACACAGTTACCCATTTACTGTAGGCCATCGACTGTTTATACAAATCACATACATATCTCAAAATAGTCCTTAGAAGTGGATGTTGTTATGCCATCAATGCCAAAGTCTCTTATCTAATAAGTAGCAAAATTAGATTTGAACCCTGGTTTCTCCAAGCATGGGATTTCCATGCTTGGGATTAGGATGATATACTGTCTCCCCTCAATGGCACTATTTTTCAACTCCTGCACACTACCATGATTTGTATTTTACCTTGTATTGTAAATATTTCTCTGCTTATCTGATTCTAGAGACACTAGCTGTAAACATCTTGAGAAGGGCACTAGCTGATGTGTGGTTGTAAATCCTACTCTATAGCCTAATAATTTGTGTTCAAAACACATTTGTGATTATATTGGATAGAATTGAAAGTGCCTTTGGGACTTTGGGCAAGAGAGTTGAAGTATGGGTTGTGTAGGTCAATATCAGCTAAGGTTTAGGGACAAGTTACAGATAGCCTATCGCCTAGCCATTGTTATGAGAATCCAGGTGAGGCTAATCAGTGCTAGGATGGCAGAATGAGGGGCGAGGACCTGCAAGAGCCAGATTGCCAGATGAGAGAAAAATATCTCACAGCTAGAAGTTACCCCCTTTCTTATGAGAAAGGATCCTCAGTGTCTTACCTGGGTATAAAAAAGGGAAAGTGAGTAGGGTGGGGTGTGTTAAGGTAATCCACAGAAATCACTTTTAAGGAGATTCTCCCCTAAATGTTTCCAGGCTGTAAGGGAACTGCCTGTAAGAGGAAGTCAAGAGTCTCCAGACCTAACTCTCCTAGGGTGAAAAAAAGAATTAAAGTGAGGACAGATGGTTACCTGATAAGGAGAACACTCTCCTAAGACCTAGATGGCTTAGGCTAACTTGTTTGGCTGTCTGGAATATGGGAAAAACAATTCTGGAGATATGGATTCATGTTGTGAAGAATAGGGAGCAGTGAATAAGGGGTGGAGGGGTAGTTTTTCTGCTATAGAACACTTTAATGATATGATAGTTCTTTTAGAGGTCAGAATGTAGCAAAATATCTTGAAATTTTAATCTTTCTGTTTTCCTTTTCCCCAATTCCTTGTAAGTGATTTGACCCCTGGTAAGTCAGAGGCATCATTTCCTTGAAATTAAGTGAAATTGTTATAGGAGTAATGAAAATACTTTCAGACTGATTTTTGAGAATCAAAATGGAGAGTCTGAAGGAAACAGCACATCAAATTTATACCACGGCCATAGAATTGAGAGTACAGAGAGAAAAGATGACTCCATTCTTTCTCCTTGTCCACAGGATCAGCCAGCATGGGCTATGACCCTATGGGGAGGCTATTTTTCTACGAGTCTTTCACTTTTCTGTAGAAGCTTGTGAGACCTTTCTTCCGGGCTATCTTTTGAAGGATGTTTGTAGAGCACACAGCCTTTAAAATAGAGATGTTGTCTCCTTCTGGGGCAGGGAGCAAATTTGTTTTCTGTTCGGTATAATAAAGATAATATTTCCCTCTGGCACAGAGGCTGGGCATGTTTGCTAGCAGTTCCATCATAATAAGAGTGAGGACTTCCTAAGTTTGGGGTTCCTCAGCTTTGGCACAAACCCACTTGTGCCCAGCATACCCTTGCAGCCACATTCATATGGCCTCATGACTCTTGGGGAATAAGGAGAACTGATGTGAACTTAAAACTCATGCTGCCTGCCACACCATGAATATTAGTTGTTTCAGACACAGGAATCTCACATGTCTGCCAGGAGTGATGAAAATGCATAAGGCTAGTGTGTAGTTTACAAGTAGAATAAAATCTCACACTCTTACCAGTTCTCAATCACCCCAGATCTGGGACAAGGAACAATAGCCAAGCTCTAGGGAATGGGGTACTCATTGAAGAGGAGCAGAGTCAGTGTTGAAAGGCTGCCGAGGACCTACATAGAGGAGTACCACGGACCCCTTGAGAGCCTAGAACACCTGCAAAACATTTATTTCAATTGGAGAAAACACTATACTTCTGCTATTTTCTACCAGTTATTCTCAGCCAAGAGTGAAATCACTTCCCCATTTGGGCTTTAGGAACGTGTGTTGGAAGGTTTTGATTATCAAAATGATAGGGCAGGGGTGGGGAAATATTAACATAGGATGTCTGGGACCAAGTGTGCTGAATAGTCAGTCACACACAGTGAATATCTGGCCTTCCCAACTGCAAATAGCACACTACCATTAAGGAACTCTAGTCAGTGTGAGGTATGGGCTTCCATTGTCAGATACTGCCAATTATGAGGAATTTCCCAGCTGAAAGTTGCATGCCCCTACCTTGAAGCTTTGCAAGCTCATAGCTAAATGTCCCATGTGGCTGCCTTTCCTTTTCAAAGGCTCTGAAACTGATAAACATTCCCTTTGTAGAGGTCTTGACACCCAGAGCAGGGATGATAGCGAGAAAGGGAAAACCAGTCATTACTATTTGAATGGACTCAACAGTGGTGAAACACTCCATACCACTCTACCATTCATCTGAGTAAGTTCCTCTTTTATGAGGAATAGATCAATAATTATATTTTTAAATAATAAAAATATTAGCTAAATAATAAAAAAATTAGCTAAAAGCAGCTTCCATTAATGGTCTATGAGGAACACCTGAATAGCACGTTTACTTCAACAAGTAACTATTGAACACTTGCTCCATGCTAAGGTATTGTACTAGGTGCTGAGGAAATAAAGATGAATTAGATATTATCTCTGCTCCCAATATCTCTCAACCCACCAGGGAAAACAGATACATATACAGCTAATTACAACAGAACATTTTAAACCAGAAACAGAATCTGTTCTTGCACAAATATTTTATTTGTGACATTTTATTAATGACATCCATTATCAATCATCCACAAAAAAAGCCACAGTATAAACTATTTTGGAATATACTCATTAGTGTTATTAGGACACTGATGTTTGCATTCTAGTACAATGTTCCCTTTGCAGCAATCACAGAGAAAATGATGCAGCTATCCATAAAGATGCGAATGAGAATATGGGAATCAGAATAACTCAGCATGAGCTGGGGTGGGCGTAGGGGATTAGCTGGAAAAGAAATCAACTGTTCTACTTTCCCTTCTTGAGGAGGCTGTGTTCAGGAGAGGCCTAGCTAGGATATCTGGTGTCTACCTCTGAATGTTTTGGCAAAGAGGATCTCCCAGAAACCTTGACACCTCTGAGAATCCCATGTTTCTTTGCTTTCCATTTCAACTTAAGTGTGGCTATTTACCACTTACTCCCATTTGGTATGAGACTAAAACTGTGAGGTCTTTTAATAACATATACTGAAAGTGGAATGCATCTTCCTTTTAGGAAAAAAGAAAAAGACAAATGTTAAACCCAAACCTCTATTACATATAATGAATTGTACTATAGTAAAATGAGTATGTCCCTTTCAAATGAAAATAGCAACGGGAAAAAGGTAATAAACATAAAAGACAAGTTTTAAAAACAAACTTAAAGAAACCACCTAGTTTAGAAGATTATCATCTCTTTTCACTTTGTAGTGGTTTTGTAATTCCTACAAATACTATAGTGCTCAATGTCAATATTTATGGTTATAGAGGGGAAGAACACTCCAATAATATCCACATAAGTCACACAGTTCCAGCTATTTATATCTAAATCTGGAAATGTAGAATAATTGCAAATTGACAAATAAAAAAAGAGGGGAAAAACTCCACAAAAGTTTAATTGTGGTTAAATTTTTGTAATGAGAAGATTCATCTGTAGTTTAAAAATAGCCAGAAACCTGAAAAAACAAGAAAATGTTATAATGAAATACAAAATGAATACATATGATCAACCCAAAGACCCCCAAATCAGCATATTTCAGTGACAAAACTTTTTTTGTCTTCATTTTCTCATCAGAGATGTTAGGAATGTAGAGCTTATAATTATAAAATATACTTCAAATCAGAAGCTTTGCTTCTTTCACAAAGTTGAATAATTCCTATTATATTACAATTTCATTACTTATATCAGTTTCCTATCCTTAAACATTACCTTATTCCATGATCACATGAAAGCATTTATTTGATATTTTCCATGATACTTTCTGTGGGGTAGAGATTAGGATCTGTAATTTATAGATCAAGAAATTGAGGCTTATAAGCAACTTATCTGCCAAAGTAAGTGCTATGGTATTAATAACTATTCTCTGTTTTAGTGTCTGATACCCTAGGGCCTAAATGTGAAAAATAGTCAAGGGAAAACCTCATTCATATCTTTCTGTTTATTCCATTTTATTTTTCACTTTAGGACAGTATTCAAGTATATGTTCCACATGGTAAATTACATATTTTTAGAACAATAATCATTTTTAATTGTCACATTTAATAGAACTAATAATGAAAACCCTTTCAGAAACATAACCAAGTACAACAGTGGTATGCTTTCTTACAATTTCATCCATGCACTTCTGGAAGAATGGGAAAAGATTTTAATTATGATTCCATTTCCTTTATTATTCAGCTAAACAAAAAGCTAATGGACTAGAATCATAATGTATTTATTTGGAATGCATCCTACCTATTCCTTTAAAAATGGTAGGTTTTTATTTGATAGCAATGCAGGTAATAATAATAATAAAATTCAAATCTTAAACATAAATAATTTTTAAATTTTTTCCTATGAGAAAAATGTCATCCTTACTAGTTTACCTTTTTTTTTCTCATTGAGGAAGTTCACACTCAAATATATGCATAATACTTTCTCCCAAAAAGAATCATTCTTTTAACTTTTATCCATTCAATCCAACTGCTCAATTCAACACATTTCTTTATATATGATTTTCTACATAACCTAGCTATATGACCTGGTCTGAAAAAAGCTATAGGTAGGAGTGCTGCTATACTATTAACTTAACAATCCCATTAAGAGTGATAATCCTATTATTTTAACATATTTCTCTCTAGAAAATTATGCCTAAAAAATCATAACTATCATTTTTTTAAAAAACCTGACCATTAAATACTGAACCAAATCCAACTATTTAACAGTGACGAATATACTCAAAACCAAGCACTTATATCTCTGAGGAAATAAAATCATTTCTCAAATAAATACTCCCCAAATCTCTACTATATGGCCGAGCTGTTCTGTTTACATAGATCCTGAGAATAAAGGGCTAACTTTTACCTGAGCTCAGAAGAAACTTTCAGCCTTTGAGGTAGTTTAGAAAGGACTTTTTCTGTTCTTCGTAATCTGCAAATGCAGAAGCAATAAGTTCTGATTGGAAAGAGAGAGGTCTGGGATTCTCATTCACGGTGAAAGTATTTGGAAACCTCCCAAGATCAAGACCTCTCCCTTTAAAATATGCCTGAAGGCTTCTGAAAAACTAAAGAAGAAAGAAAATGTTCATTGCCATATGTAAGTGAAACACCCAAAATACTCAAGGTGAATATTTTTTTTTCCTTTCTTTTCTCCTTGAATTGACATTAAAACTAATCTAGAAGGCAGGAGGTTGAACATCTAGAATCAGAAGTAAAAACTTTGGCAACTTGCCCTTCCCACAGCCTCTTCTTTCTTACATTTTGATCCTAAACAAGATAATTCACCATTCTTAGTGAAAATTAGGGGAACTGGAAGAGGAACATCAATTATCATTGTGAACCGCCTCCTGAGTACTGAGGTCAGAGATGCAATTGAACCCCATAATGATCATCTCTGTGTCTCCTCTCCCTGAAGGTAAGATCCCAGTCACTGCCTTCTGCAATAGTTTCTTTTCAGACATAGGTTTTTCAGATTTCCATTAGGAAATAAATACACAGAAGCTGTACAAAGTGCTATTTGTTCGATTGTTTTAATCTTAAATTATTATATTTCACATAATTTTCTTTAAAAAAACCTATATTTTGAAATAGTCATGTCAACATGTTTATTGTATTAACATTTGGCATGTTTTTAAAAGAGGATTTTTACTGATCTTTTGAATTCTATTTTCTAGGTAACTGTATGTTGAAAATATGCCTAGTAAATTGATAACCATTAAGGGTCAACTTTCAATTTTTGCAATTGAGCTTTACAAGTGCTGGTTATATGATAATCTACCTGTTTTTATCATCAGTTCAATCTAAGCTGTGAAAAAATCAATTCCTTGTTATGCTTTTGATTTTGTATATATGTTAGAAATCAAGGCTATAAAGTCAATGTGTATATAAGATCATTTGCAAATGCAATGGGCTGTGTATAAGATTATTTCTAAATATAAATTTGTTTCTCTTTATAGAAACAAATGTAAATTGGCTAGAGAAACAACAAGACACCAGCCACTGGTCTGGTCCTATTGGGAAATCTTCTCAACCCTTGGGAGCCCCCCTCCACTGTGCTCTGAAATACAGTGTCCGTAAATCCAGAGAGATGCAGTTCTGCTCTGCAGCCCAGCACATCCCAGGTGTGTTCTTACCAGATCTCGGTTTCTGGGGTTGTTCAGTGGCTTCCATTTGTCATTTCTCAGTGTGGCCCCATGCACATGCCCAAAGAGCACCAGGGCAACACACAGCAGCCGGAGGGGTGCTTGGGACATGGTGGAGTGAAGCTGAATGAAAAGAGGGGTCAGGGGACTGTCGATGGTCACTGAGAGAGGTAGAGAGGAGAGAGAATAAGAGGAAACATCTGTAAAGGCAAGACAAGGAAGGAGAAATAGTATATTGGTTCACCTAAATTTTGTAGCCATGTTTTTTCCAGATTCACTTGCATGAGGGTCCCTAAATCCAATTGATAAAGTAGCCCTAATGATGAACATTATACAGTGATAAGCAAAGAAATTATGAACATAACCTAGACAGTCCGAGTATGCTTTCTCATCTTTAAAAAAATTCACTTTGTTGTTTCCAAAGAAAGTGCAATTTTTTCAAGAGCAACAAAAAACACAATTTTAAATTATTTTTAAGTCTTAGGACAGCAATCTTAAAAAAAAAAAAAAAGAAAATTACTTCAGATACCCTCAACTGAGAAATAACACCTTACACACACATCTTAGACTAATAGACAGACACAGATCACACCAGTGTGAGTAGATATTGTCTTCCACCCCAAGGTGTGACAGGGAAACTGAAACACAAAGAAAGGGCTAATAAAGCTTACCAAGAGTCTGGTTTTAGTTGGTCTTTGAAGGCTACCCTGCCTACAATCTGCAAGGTGATCCACCAGTACTTATAACCAGCAGTTTGGCTGCAGGGGGAGGCATTGACGTCAGCAGGGGGAGTTAAAAATTATTCCATTTTCATCCACGGCACAAAGACTCTTGCGAGTCAGATCTTCAAGTTTCTTCAGGGGTAACATGGAACCTCTTTGTCTTATAAATGCAGCAGCCGTTCCTTGAACCACTGAACATTTTATGTGGATTTTATAAAACTCATAAGGTACTTCCACACCACAAACTGGTTTTCTCCTTTTTCACTTTTAAGAGAAAGTATATACACAGCAGCTGGGAATATGATGATGATGATCCCACTTAATAGAATTCTCTTTTAGAGATATTAGTTGTTAAAATTAGCAGCACATTTTTGTACAGAAAGTTCTATTGCAAGAGACAAAATTGCTCTTTTTGACTCAAATCTTGTAATTTTTTTTCCTCAGAATCTCAAGAAGCTTTACAAGTTTTAAATCATGGCATAATTTATCATAATACCCCTTCAAAAATAAGCAAGAAAATAGCATGTGTTTCGTGGAAAAAAGAAAATTACTATACCTACAACATTCCCTTGCTGAATAAAGGCCATCTGTGGAAAATGGTAGGGCCAGGAAACTGGACTTAATGAGTTGTGATGTTTCTTTGGTTCCCATAATTTGGAACAAAATCCGGGACAAGCTCTTTGTTGAGAAGGGTGGTGATCTGGACTAGAAATAAGAATACCTGGCTATGGTCTCAGCCTTGCCAACTTGATCTTCAGCAAGTCACTAAGACCTTCATTTGTTCATTTCCTTTGTTCATTCAGTCAACAAATTTTTATGGAGTTCCTACCATGTGCCAGGCATTGCACTAGGCTTTCAGGATAAAATGCTAAGAATAATATATGCAGTCTCTGCTTTCATTAAACAAAGATTAGTGGGCAAGACAAATATTAATCAAATCCTTATACAAAAAATATGTAAATATAAATGATCATTTCTATGACGAGAAAGTGAATGCTATGAGTATTAAAACAGGGGAATCTGATTAATCTCAGGGGTCAGGGAAGGCTTATGTGCAAGTGACCTTACATCTGGTTGATCAAATAGGAGATACCTAGGCAACCTGCGGAAGACAGAGGGAGAAGAGTCTCAAACAAGGTGAACAGCTGTCCTAGCCCCTGTGGCTGAAAAGGAACATGGCCTGTTACCATGGAAGCAACTGGAAGTTTGTATGCCAGGAGTAGAGGGAGCAAGGCGGGGGCCTGATGCGAGATGGGGCTGGAGAGGTTTTCAGATCATAATCTCTCTGCTGCAAGCAATGCTAATTGAAGGGTTTTAAGCATCCAAGCGACTTGATCAGACTTGCATTTTTAAAAGATTATTCTGGTTTTCTTGGGGAGGACAGATTAAGCTAGAAAAGAGGGATGTGTGAAGCCAAGTTAGGTGACCACTGCAGTAGTCCAGTCAGGAAAAGATGTTAATTTGGACTAGGATGGCAGTAGCACAGATTCAGAGATGTGGGTGAACCCAAGAGAAATTTAGAAGGGATTGGTCATGTACTGGATACTATGGCGGGGGGGCAGAGGTAAAGGGAAGGGAGTTTCGAAACCAATCCCTAGGTCTCTGGATTATGCAGCTGAGTGGATTACAAGGCCATTCACTGAGATATCAAGCACAGGCACAGAGAAGTGAAGATGATGATTCTTTTCGGAATGTGTTGAGTTTGGGCCTAGATTTGTGCAGACCTCATGTTTCAAAAGGGATAAGAAATGTATGAACAAGAATTTTGTGAAAGGGTTCTGAGACAATCCTGGGTAGCAGTGAACCCAGGAGTGCAGATTTAAACTTTTAATTCTCTCTCTAAAGATTTGGGCCTCCTAGGATTTATATGGCCCAAAGTAATCTGGGGGCATTTGGGACAGTGGTAGGGTGAAAATATACTCTTCCCTGGTCCCCCCAAGACATCAAGGCCTAATGCATGTAAAATGTTACCTTATTTAGAAAAAAAAGGTCTTTGTATATGTGATTAAGTTAAGGCTCTTGATAGGAGGAGATTATCCTACATTATCTGGTTGTGCCCTCAATGTAATAAATTTGATCTCTTGTCCTTTAGTAAAAAGAGGCAGGGGGAGATTTCAGAGACATACAGAGGGGAAGGTGTTGTGAGCACAGAGCAGAGAGAGATTTGACAATGCTGGCCTGAGGACTGCAGCAATGTGGCCACAAACCAAGGAAAGGTGGCAGCCAACAGAAACTGGAAAAGGAAAAGAACAAATTCCTCCCTAGAGTCTAGGGGTGGGGAGCATGGCCCTGCCTATACCTTTATTTTGGCACAGTGGTACCGATTTCAGACTTCTGACCTCCAAAACTGTAAGAGAATACATTTCTGTAGTTTGAAGTCATTCAGTTTTCGGTAATTTGTTACAACAGTCACAGGAACAGAATATAGAGGATGTTGAGATGTCAGGCCAATCACTAAGGAAAAATCCACGACTCGCCACAACTGCTCTATGTTCTACTGAACATGCTGCACTATAGACAGACCGAGAAACTGGATCCAAATTCTTTACTCCCTTTTGAGGAAGGTTGAGCTGCTTCTGTCATTCAACTCACAATACAAAATGGATTTGGGTTGAAATGTCTATTATGAACTTGGGATTTTATATAAGTAAAACTATAATTTAATATGTCTTTTTGATACAAAAGGGAGAAAAGTATATCTATGTCAGACTATTAAATTAGATCAGACCCTCTCCATGACTCACATAATTTTGTAATGATGCACATATTTTAGTCCATTAATAATGTTACTTAAGTATTTGGAAGAGATACCATTCTTAACATATAACTTAAATTTCCAGGTACATATTTTTGTATGATAAAAGGAGTAGTTTCAGAGAAGAGAAAAAAATGAGGACAATTCAGATGGGTATTTCTTTGGATATTGTGGGGCATAATTGGGCAAATGATTTTCTTTCTTAGTGCTAGAGATTCTTTTCAAAATTCTGACTATTCAAAATTTCTTTCATCAGTTGTGAGCTCTAAAATAAAACCAGTGAGGTTTTATCCTAAGGGAAAGAAAAGCAACACAAACAAAACCAAAAATAATCCCCCTAAAAATGATGATTAGTTCCTAGCATTCTGGTAGTGCTTTTAGGTGCATAAAATTTTATCCAATTATTTTAAACAAAATAGAACAAATAGCAAACCTTTACTAAAAGGTGCTTTCTGTAAGTCTGGTTCTGGGAAAATGTATGAGAAATTTCAATAGCAGAGATTATTTCATCTGAATCCTCCAACAAAAATATGCTCCCAAGTGCCAGTGGAGACATTCTAGATTTCTACTAAAAATATTACCCGCTGACTTCCACTTTTAAAAACTGGGTTATTTAATGTTTTATTATTGAGTTGTAGAAGTTTTTTATATATTCTGAAAAAGTCCTTTGTCAGAGATATGTTTGTCTGTGGTTTGCTTAATAATGTCTTTGGAGAGCACTAGTCTTTAATTTTGATGAAGTATAATTTATCAACTTTTTATATCACTGTTGCTTTCTTTATTTTAAGCACCTTTGTTCACCATCATATCACAACGTATTCCCCTATATTTTTAATATAGATTTAAAGTTAATTTTTATATTTAGATCTATGGCTCATCTCAAATAAATTTTTGTGCATGATGTGAGTCATGATGTGATGTCAAGGTTTATCTTTCCCTATATGTATATTCAGTTATTCCAGCACTATATGTTGAAAAGACTTTTCTTTTTCTTTCTATTCTTTGCCAATATCACACTATCTTGATTACTGTAGCTTTTAAGTAAGTTTTGAAATCAAGTAGTGAGATTCTTTTCAAAATTTTGACTATTCAAACTTTTTTGATTTTTCCACATAAATTTTAGAATCAACTTATAGATGTTTAGAAAAATAGCCTTCTGGGATTTTGCTTGAGTTTGCATTTAACCTACATATCATTTTAGAGAAAATTGACGTCTTAACATTACTGAGTTTACCAATCAATGAGTATAGTATCTCTTAATTTATATTAGGGATTTTAACTTTTCTCTAAGCAATATTTTGTTGTTTTTTATGTTGATTTGACATATTTTAATTTATTCCTAAGTATCTTATTTCTATGATAATACGAATGGCATTTTATAAAATTTATTTTACAATTGTTTGGTGTTTGTATATAGAAGTAGAATGTTTTTTGTATATTGAACTTCTATTCTGTGATCTTGCTATATTCCATTATTATTTCTAGTAGTTGATTGGTACACTCCTGAGGAGTTTCAAAACAAACAATATATTACTTGAAAATAGAAAATGTTTACTTCTTCCTCTCTGATCTTTATGCCCTTTTCCCCCTTGATTTTATTTCACTGGCTAGGATCTCTAGTACAATGTTGAGTAGGAATGATGAGAGCGCACAACCATGCATTATTCTTGATCTTCAGAGTAAAGCATTCAGTATTTTGCCATTAAATATGATGTAATCTGTAGATATTTTGTTAGATGCAA